ATAGCTATTTTGAAATGGGAGAAATATGAAGGGAGTGAATTGAAAATTTTCTTTTCCTTCACTTTTCCCTTTCCCTTCCCCTACCTAGAGGTGTTCAACAAACCGAATTAAATTAATTAGACCGTATAAACTGAACCAAATCGTATAAAATCGAATCAAACCGTATAGTATAGTTTAGTTTGATATTTGATATCTAGACAAACCGTATAAATCAAACTAAATCATATATTTATATATATACAAAACTAAAAATCCTATCTCTACATATATAATATATTTTTATTGTTTGACTGTATATTTATTCTTTTTGTTATCTTGTATATTTATATTCATTTTAATAATTGATCATTTGTTTTTTTAGAGTGTAATTTTTATTAGTAATAGTGAAATTCTGTAAAATGGTATAAATATATTAATTATAAAATATATAACTACTATAGTTAATTAATAAATAATAAATTTATTAAGTTAAACATGTTGGAAAAAAATAGATGATCAATTTTTAGAAAAACTCCATTAAAATTTCTATAAAAATAGTGAATTTAATCCATTTTATTTTATAAATTACAAACCGTAGTTTGAAACTGAATCAAACTGTAAGCCATGGTTTGATTTAATTTATAAAAATTACAAATTGTAAAATATAATTTGATTTGAATTTGAATGTCAAACCGAATCATACCAAACCACGAACACCCCTACCCTTTCCCTTACGCGTAATCCCCCTATTCCTAAACCCCGAATCCTCCTTTATTCTTCTTCCATGAAACTGTCGACCTTACTTGTCCCTCTTCACCTCATTTCTCCTGCTTCGTGCACATCCAGTCAAGCCAATTTTGTTGCCGCCGACCCAGTTTCATTGTCCTGTTCCGCTAGATTTTGCCTACCTGTTTCACAGGATTTTGCCTCCCTGAGTAACAAACAAACACAGCGACACTCCCTCTCTGCTTCCTTTTGCTATCGTGTACCGCGAAAAACGGGATTAGGCTATTGAGAAATTCGATGGTAAATTCTCCTTTCTTTTTCTTCTTCTTCTTCTTCTTCTTCTTCTTCTTCTTCTTCTTTCTCTATACTTTAAAGTTGGGTGGGTTGTTCTGCAAATTTAAAACTAGTCATGTGGGTCATGAACTAAATGTTTGGAGTGATTCACCGCAGGACCCTAGCTTCCTTGATTATAACTTTATACCCCTGTTAAGCTTGTAATTGGAAGCTTTATCTTCCCTTCACTATTGGAAATCCACCATATGGTTAGCTATGAGGTCCGTATTATATAATTAACTCCCTTTTCTCTTAGACTCCAGGCTGTATCCAAACTAGGGGTATTCATGGTTTTAAAAAAACCGAACCGAAAGTTAGGTTTCTTTTATAAATATTATAGTTTTTGGCATTAGGTAATACATACTGAATATTTTAGTATGGTTTAGATTTTAGAAATTAAAAACCGATAAAAAACCGTACCGAACCGAATAATATATATAATAATTTATTAAATTATTTATATTTTATATAAAACATTTAAATTTTTAAAAATTAAGATCAATTTAATAGCAAATTAAAAAAATTAAAAAGATAAAGACTTGTGTAAAAAAGAGGTATAAATATGGGGATTAAAGTGTAAAAAGAAGAAATATATTTAACCTTAACTCCAGATTTTGTTTTGCTGTAGTCCATGTTATGTAATCCCAAATTTTGTTTTGCTGTAATTCATGTTATGTAATTGGCTTCAACTCCAATGGTGTGGTCTTCAGATAACAAGGTCATAACTCAATTTGATGATATGATTTTCAGTATGTTTTGGGAGCTTTGACATTCTCTTACTTGCTATACCGAACAAAGTATTTTATTTTTGATATACATAAAGTATAATCTTATGAAGGTGTTAGAGATATCTGATTTTGGATTAGAGATTGTAAGTACTGGATAGTTTTAAGGTTTTCAAATCTTTCCTTTTATTTTCTAACTAGTTTGACATTCATAAAATATGATCATATGAAAGAACTAAAGACATCTAATTTTTAATTAAAAATTATGAGTACTAGTAGTTTTAAGGTTTCTTAACTTTCCCTTTAGTCTCTAACGGCTTGTTTGACAGAATGTGGGTTTAGGAAAAGTGAATTTGGAAAAAGTGGGTTTGGCAAAAGTAGATTGTGTTACTTGATTACATAGTAATGGTGAATGTCGATTATAAACAAAATGTCCAAAAATACAGCTAATAAGTTTTTTGCTAACTTTCTTCCTTTTAGTTAAAGTAGAATTCTATGCACTAATCCAATTATGTAGTACTTAGATTTCTTTAATTTCTTTTTTTTTTCCTTTAAATTTCCTTAATGCTTATATTGGAAATAGTTATATAAGAGACAAGGTGCCAATTTATATGTTGCTTGAAGGTCTTTGTGAAAATGAAAAAAACCCTTACTTATTATTTCATATTATTTAACTTGAATGATTAGAGATACAAAAAAAATAACTTAATACTAAAAAACCCGAACCGAACCGTACCGTACCGTACCGTACCGAAACCGAAGAAAATTGAAGGGATTGGTACCGGTATCAAGAAGTGTGGTTTTGGTTTTAATTTCAAAAAATCGAATATATTGGTATGGTATAATTTTATTAAAAAAAAGGGTAAAAAACCGAACTGTGAACACCCCTAATCCAAACTTACTGTTCATGCGTGCAAGTAACCATGAATCTGGTCATCTTATTTTCCTAGATAGCCGAAACCTCCCTTTTGTCTTCAAATGGAATATTACTAATTAGTTTTGAAGGATTTTATAATGGAAGGCGGGTCAAGCCCGATGGGGAAGATGCTTTTTCATTTCATTACATCTTACATCTCAATTATTTTGTTTCTTTTCCGTGGTGTTAGCTATATCATAGTAGTTTTAGTGGATAGTTGGAAAAAATGAATTATATTAACCCACCTCTTTAACCATTCAAGACTTTTCTATAGAAATGAGACAGGCAGTCATCCGAAATGACAGGAAGAGAGATTTAGCGAGGTTTCTTTATACTAGTCTTAGAGAACTAGGTAAGCTTTGCAAGTTAACTCTCGAGGGTTTCACCATATAACTTTGCTTGTTATAATATGCTAAGAGCTATAATATATATATATATATATATATAGACACACACACACATATATATACATTGAGTCTAATAATTAATATGAGTGGACTTAAGAAATTTAGAAGAGCCTTGAGCCAAGAAATTTCGATATCGGCTTGAGAGCTTTAATTCTTGAACATGTAAAATAACATTAAAATTGTGAAATTAGGCTATTTGGAGGCCTTTATGTTGGACAAAGGCAAGAGCATGTTAAGTTAAATTTGGTATTCTTGAATTTTCACCAATGTAGTGACTGATAATATATATTTCTGAGTTTTTATAAAATTCTTTTGATTCTATGAATTTTTACTAATTTTTTCATTCATATTTGTTTTATAAAAGAATTTATTTTATGTTGATTTAGATTCAAAACAAAAGATTTTGGATTTATAAAATTGAATTAAAAATTTGGGACAAATATGTTACATTATTAAATTTTATTAAAATTTGACTAATAATAGATGGAATGTGATTTTGACTTTGAAATATAAATTAAAAGATTTTTAAGAAGGGTATTTTGACCAAACACTACAACTAACGGCAATGACTTAGTTTTGGTGCACCTTGATTTGTGTCTCAACTAGTAAGAGTGATACTAGCCCAACGTGTTTGATTGACACGTTCAAATCTGCTTTGTATGTTTGGTGAGTCTTGGTGGCCTTCAGGACTAAGCTCACATTATGATTCTGAATTATATCTCTTGCTTCTAAATTAGAACCTCTTGGTATGTCTTCTTAAACTGTTTATCTTTAATAGTTTTCCACTTATATTGATGATATAGTTAGTTTGAACTAAAATCGATTGTTATTTAACTAAAGATGTTGAAATCTTGAAATAGTTTGGATCATAATTGTTTCTTTATAAACATAGTTTTATATATTATTGCTCCTTAAGATTTTTCTCACACTTTCTCTTAAAATTTTTTCCAGATTCTAGCACTAATCCTAGTATGGTGCTGTTAGCTTACCCATAGAAGTTTAAGTGTGATGAGTCCCACCCTATGACTTATGTGTAAAAATAGATATTGGATGCCTATAGATTATGTTAAATATAATTTCTCTATGTTTGAAATTATAGAATTGCTTATTTGTCCACTAACAGGATTTCAGACCTTTGAATGCTAGATGTGCAAATTTAGATATTTGTTGAGTATAGTATAATAATTGTATCCATATAACTGTAAGGGCTCTCTGTTAAAAATTATACAATTGTTTAATAGGCTATAAAATTTGGGAAATGTCTATAAGGGGAAATTCTTTTGAAATTACTAAAATATTTCTTATTTAATTAAATAACTTATTATTTCCTAATTGGGTTTGCTGGGAGTGGGTTAGTTTATTCCTAGTACCGGTCCCCATCTTAGGCTGGGTCGTTGCAACTAGCACATACCAATAAAATAGGAAATGCATGCTGGAACTTAATTGGAATTGAAATTTCACACCCATAGTGAAGTTCCACTTCAAATGGACATGTTCAAATTATCCATAACAATGCGAAGCATTATCATCTGAAATTAGACCCAAAAACATATATTTAAGGGTTAACCAAGCCATTATATTAGCATTCAAACCAATCTCAAATCTAGATGAGTTCGAGATTATTGAGAGAAGCATTTGTGGCTGCAGGTTTATCATGCTTCAGTGCCTTCCCGAGACAAGAGCAATGTTTGACATTGAAACGAGGGACAGCCTTACCCATCGTCTTGAGTGAGGACTGGAAAGATTCTAAAAGGGATTGATACAATGGCCAGTAGGACAACATGAATATAGAAACTGGGAACAACACCGAGATGTATACAGCGATTTTTGTCCACTGCTTCCTATCTTGTATCATCAAGATCACTGTTGATGCAAATGCAAACATCATCATTGACACGGAAAGCATTAGCAGCGTCACCCCAACACGAGCTTCTGAGGAAGGGGAGACATGAAGTCCTTTAACCGGAAGGGCGAAGTAAGAATGGAGAGAAATGTGATAACTGATGTTAAGGCAAAGGCGAGGGACAAAACATCTGTAAAGGTGAAAATTACGAAGAATTTCTTGTGTTGGAGAATTGGATAGCCAGTTTCTTGATTCAGACCACCTGGTACAGTGTAGGCCGCAGCAAATGCCACGGTGGCAATTAGCACGCCAACAATAGAGCAATTTTCCGCAGTTCGCTTAAGCCAATCAGTGGCATTTATACGAAGATCTTTGTATGTCTCGGCAAAGAGTTCATCTGCAGTCTTCCCATCATTGTTCCGGTGGTTGATAAGATAGTTTGTAATCTGCTTTATGCTCTGCATGCACAAACAAATATCAAATTACAAATATTTTGGATGATAATTGTGATTGAAATCCTAGTTAAGACATTTTGCAATTGTTTTGAGGTAAAACAAGTAGTTCAACTTGTTCTACAAGCAAATTAATGCTATAAAATGCTAATGTTGCAATTCAATTTATTTGTACAAAAAAGGTTTTGAGAATAATACTTAAAAACAGAGAGAGAGAGAGAGAGAGAGAGAGAGAGAGAATAAAATGGAGTACAAACTAAGCAGATTAATAGAAGCAGCAAATGTTTATAACCACAAAATCAAATGCCAACATAAATTTTATTTCATTTTCAAAACAATTGTTAATTTTGGGAGAATTACCAAAAGTTGAAAAGGTATTAATCATAATTTGCAAGGTAAAATCAGTAAAGGTTTTGGGTAACTAAGGACATAAATAAGAAATTCACCTCTAAACGGACCAAGTCTTCTTGCAACACTACAAGAGGGCTTCCCATTTTTTCAACTGTCTCGGTGTCTACCCTGATCCCTACCAAGTGCAAGAGGGAGTTTCCTTTCCTGTCCAATTTTCTCGTATGTAACGTCATTGGTTGTTTCATTTTCTTCAATAAAAGATGGAAAATATCCATCTTGCGATACTTGACAGCTCCGTGCAAAATGCCATGCCCTTCGTAATCAATATACTCAACTGCTTGAGGATAAACTTTAATTATCTCCTCAACAATCTCTATGATGCCTGACCGAATTGCCAAAAGAAGTGGAGTTTGAGGTCTATATTTTTTACTAAGCTCTGCATTCGAGCTTCTAAAGAAGATAAGGGAGTGCCGTAACCATGCGTCTTAGGCTTCACGTGGACTGTTTCAGTGAATGTCTCCTTCCATGAGACATCTCTCTCTATTAAGAACTTGGCGAGCTTCAAGGTGCATTCATGTCTTCTTTTTTCCATTCGAATTTCATCAAATAAAGGTATTCTCCAGAATGATTTATCTTTAAGAGAAACCATGTCATTTCTAGTTGTATACAAGTCTAACTTAAGCTTACAGAATTGGGATAGAAATTGAATTACAAATATCAAATACATAAAAATTAAGTGACATTAGAGAGTATCTAGATTTCAGAAGTAGATAGAAAAGGACTCGAAGAATCAAGCTCACCAAAAAATTTAACTGAGAATTTTAATAAAAGGTAACGACGAAGCCAGAACAAACCGAATTCATTTGTTCTTTATTCTAGAACATAATTTATTACATAAATATGTAATTTTTATACAAAAATTATGCATAATTTTTTTATAAAATATATTATTATTTATAGTAGTGATTATAAGTTCGCACCCTGTTTGTTGAGGAAAGTAGCATAGATGAAGTTAATTATTAGTAGTTAAGAATGTGTAAGATATTCATACATCGCCCATTAATTACCTTGTTCCTCCTTGCTCCATGGGTCTCCTTGACTTGGGATACCTGAAACGAAGTGATATACAAAATTTTTGTAGGTAGTTAAATTGGTGTTTGGGGAACTAAGATAATAGAAATCAACCTATTTGGAAAAAATATATCCTTCTAAAAAAAATTAAAAATTTTAACAATCATAAAAATTTGTATGAATTCATTAACACTATAAATTTAGCGATCATATACATGCAAGCATATATGGATAGTAGGAAGAATGGAATAGGAAGGAGGAGCCTACGTACAATCATATAAGCGCCTCTTTAGCCATCCTTGTTTCCTTCCACTTCGAAATGCAGAAGAATTGTGAGCTAGAAGTTGAAGAGCAGTCATCTTGTCTCCATCTTCTGCGTTCACCCACTCTTCATGCTTTTGTGAAATCTTCAGGGCCAAGTCTGCTTCATTAATTAGATAATTAATGGTAAAGAATTTGTAGCAAACTATAAATAAACAAATAAATATGGAAATAAGTTCACTTATTTATAAAATTATTTTTTTTCTTTTTATGTAACCAGAGTTAAATCGGAGATCTACAGAGAGATCACCAAAAAGAAAAAAAAAAATCCACGTGACTGAGTTACTAAAAGCCTGTCAAGATTTTCTAAGTGATTGAGCAATAAGAAATTCAGAAAGGGGTGCTAGTTTAAGCACCCTGTTCAATCCAAAATTAGCTCCCATTTGCCCGTCCGTTCTAGTTTGGACAAATTGAAGTGAATCTGTACAACTGTTAAATAATTAAAATATTTAACCTGAGCACCTGCCGGTTCAACCGATCAAACCGGCCGATCCAGAGTAGCTTTATTAAACATCTGTAGGTCGATGGCTTGGATTATGCAATCATATTAATTCAAGTGGAGAGAAAGAGAACGCTGACCGAAGTGCTCATACAGCACGGCAGTGTGAAGTACGGTGGTTCCGTCCTCCCTCCGGTAAATCCTTTTCCACTCATCTTCCTCCATTTTTCCTCTCCATTCCTTGATTTTCTTTTCTAGGAAATCAAACATTTCGATTTTTCCGAACCGGACGGCGCGGAAGAGTGCTGTCTCGCCGACGTTGTTCCGACTGACCAGCAGCTCTGGCGCCAGGCAAAGCATCTCCTGGGCAGCCCCAACCATCAGGTCGGAGGCGGCGGCATCGTGTAGCACAGTGTTTCCGATGTCGTTTCGGACTGTCAGTCCGCTGATTTTGTTACTCGTCCTGATCTGATCCAGCAACTTGAGCACCAGATCTGCCTTTTCGTAAAAGGAGGCAACGTGGAGAACAGTCCCCTTGTGTATGCTCAGCTGGTGCAACGGCCCTTCTTCGTATTTTTCACACATTTCTGTTACTGTTTGATCATTTTGACCCCCCTCATTCATTAAAGCTGTGTACAGCTTTCCTATTTCTTTGTCAGCTAGGTGATCCATCGCCTCCAGAGATAGAGACCCAGAGGGAAAGCTTGCGAGGAGAAATTGTTTATTTGTACCCCCTATAAATAGAATCATAGAATATCTTTACTATTATTATTAAGAGAAGTCTGTGAGCGCACCATGACAAGCAATTGTTGCGTAAGGTCCGACATGGAAATTCGTTTTTCTTTTCTTTTTTAGGTGCCTTGAAAATGAGATTTTGAAATTTGATCCCTAAATTTAGATTAATGTAAACCTGTAATTTTCTTTAGATCTAAAAAAGAGAAACATTTTCTTTCCATTTTCTTCACTCTGACAAGTTTTTTTATTTTCACATTATTTAAATGATTATTTTAAACCTTTTCTTTTCACTGCATTAGTAGCAAATAATGATGTTTGTTTGTGCCAATCTGTCTTAAAATTTCATTTCTGAATCCCCGCATGAATTTCCTTAAATTAAAAACAAAAAAAAAGTCATTAGGTAGGCTCTCAGTTTTGGGTAGTTTTGCCTGCGATCAACTATTTCCTTCTTGGATTGTTTTATATATTGTTACAATTTATTTATTTAAGGTAAAAATTCTAATTTCATAATTTAAAAGATAATTTTCTCTAATTTGTGAAAGCGTCGCATTAAAATTTAAGAATTTTGCCCAAACAATTCCCAGTAACACATGGATTCCCAGGTTGTCTCAACTTGCATTCTGGAATGCAAAAATACCCGTCGTGACTCTCGCAAGTTAAAATCTTGATTCTCGTTAGCAGTTACTTTTAATTCATTTCCTTTTCAAAGAAAAAAAGACAAACAAATATTATCCTTTTTCTGCAATCTTATAAAATGAGTCTGTCACTAAATAATTTTCAAGTAATCTCTAATTAATTTGTTTGATGCAGTTCGCAGCTGGCCACTTGAAGAAAGAAAATCTGATTGGTCGGTTAAAAGAAAGAACTTACGCTTGGTAAGATTCTAAACGAATGTCGATTAAATAATTTACTATTTCCAGTGCAGGAGTCTAGCCGCCTATTCGTGTCATTCCTGGAAGAGTACAGATGGCCGGTTGAACTTTAAATTGTTCTTTTGGTATACTTTGTAGCAAAAAAAGCAATGAAAATCCAACTGGTTGTTTAAAAGGAAGAACTTATTATGCTTCATAAGAATCTGAAGGACAAAGATATTTGAGAGTAAGATCAATTTAAGCTTTATCTTTAGGATGGAATCATGCAACAAAATAGTTAGCTTAAACTTCACGAAAATATATTGGATTAACTGATTGGTTGAAAGAAGGATCGTACAGTTGGCAGAATTCTCAATGCTTTCATTTGTTAACGTTACATTGGGTTTTCGCAAAAAAAGGGATCATAAAATAATAATTAAAAAAATTAAATTTAACCAATCAACTATTAAGAAAAAAGTGAATTAAATTAATCAATAAAAACAGAACAAAAACAGAACGTGCTTTACAATCTATTTCAAAAAAACAAAACTCTTAATCTAATCCTAACAATAATTTAAGAACAAACATGAATCTCCTTATGCCAATCAATCCCAAACCAATAGAATCTTTAACTATTTATCTTAGAATGGCTGTAAATAGATTATTGGATAGTTGATTCTTATTGAAAGTAAAAATCTCCTACTATAGAGTCATTCAAAGTAATTTTTAAATTTGTTTAAAATCTAATTAATATTGCACAAGTAAGAGAATATTAGAATTTTCTAATATTTGAAATACTATGAATTAGTTTTTGTAGTTTATACACGATTGGTTGAATGGACACTCTAATGTGCGTGAAGCTCGTTTATTTAATTAAGTGATGTGATGGATTGGGAGCCACCTTGGTTTGGTTTGGACTTGGGTTTGATTAATAACTGTGTTAGACTCTAAGTAATCTAAGGTTATGTGATGGACAAAAACTAGATTATTTCTCTATAAATAAGGCATAATTTTTACATTACTCTGTATCAATTTTTGACTATTCACTGTTTTATCAAAATATTAGTTGTGAGAAGTAAACTTAGTTTGTAAGATTGTACTCGTGCGGTATTAGATTATACATTTACATTCGTTAGTTCTATTTAGTTATTCAATAACGAATGGCTTGGAAAACTATATATTCTCATTCTAATTGGTATCATTGTAATTATAAAATATTTACAGCAAATCTTATACAGTTGATTTAGTCAAAATTAAATAGATTATATTAATTAATATTTTTAAAAGAAAAATAAGTATAAATTGATATAATAAAAAATAGCTGTAACTAATTTCATCTATTAAATTTGAATAAATTGATAGTATAAAATTTAGTGCAAGTATTTTACACTTATATTGGTTTCAATTGATTCTTTCTTATTCAACAATTAGAATTTGGATTTTAATTTGAATATCGAATTTTATCCATTCAAATTTGGTAGTACTAAACACACATCTTATAAGATTTTAAGTTAAATTTAAATATAATATACTATTATCAAATTCAAATTCAAATTTGTCATGTGACCCAAATGCAATCCACTAATAACAACTCTGGTGGTTTATTTTTATCCCTGATTCATTAGAGCCATGTACAGCTTTCCTTTTTTCTTTTTTTTTTTTTTTACCCTCGTACTCAGCAGGGTGATATATCACCTAGAGAGAGAGAGAGAGAGAGAGGGGAGAAATTTTTTATTTGTACTTGCTATATAGACTCATAGAATATTATTATTATTATTATTATTATTATTATTATTATTATTATTATTATTATTATTATTAAGAGAGGTCTGTGAGAGCATGATGACATGCAATTGTGACACAAGGTAGTTGTCCGACTTGGAAATTCTTTTTTTTTTTTTCCTTTTATTAGGTGACTTGAAAATGGGATTTTAAAATTTGATCACTAAATGTAAATGCAATTCTCTTTACACCTTAAAAGAAAACATCTCCTTTCCATTTCATTGATTCTGACAAGTTTTTTTTCACTTTATTTAAATATTTTTCAATCTTTGTATAAATAAAAACAGAATATAAAAATTGTGCCAAATTAAACGAGATTAATTAATTAACCATCAATTAACTCAATATATTTTCGGGATGTTTAAGCTAACTATATGTTTTAGTTCATGATTCCATCCTCAAGCTAAAGCTTAAATTTATATTACTACACAGCATTTTTGTCACAAACTGAAAGATTGCAATATCAAAGTCTACAAGTTATTAAAACAACAGATTTTCAAAAGAAGATTACCTTGCGCACTATCTTGCGCTTTCTACCTCCAAAGCGGCACCGTTAGTATTAAATATATTATGTTGAATTTATTTAATCTATTAAAATATTATGTTGATATTTTAACAGATGGAATCATATACCACATCCAACGGCATAATTTTTGGATTACTTGATGGATAGACATTATTATCAAGCAAGAGATTTCTTCTTTAAGACCGAAAGGTTAGGGAAAAAATTAAATAAACAAATCGAGAGACATAAGACATGCGTACGTAACATCATAATATATTTTTATCTGTTTATTTGGTGCACGAGAAAATTAACCTAGTCAAGTTTGGTTAAGTGGATAGAAATATTAATTTAAATTTATACAAATAATAATATTGTTGAAATTTCTAAACAAATTACTTTTTTCAAATAATCCTTTATGTTTCTCAAAAATATTGCAGTGTGTTCAAAATTTTCAAGATAGATTATATTTTATTCTTTTACATTACTGTGGCAAAGAGTTATATATCATAGAGTTGACTTAACCATTTTTGGATATCTCCCGCAATATTCTAACAAAAAATTTATAGTGGAGGTGAATTACATCATCTTAGAATCGCAGTTAATTAAATAATTTGCAATTTCTCGTGCATGAGGGAAGACTAGGA